GAAAACTACAGACCAATATCCTTGATGAACACTCATGCTAAAATCCTTACTTAAAAAAATACTACCTAACCAAATCCAACAACATACTAAAAGGATAATCCACCATGATCAAGTGGGTTCCATACCAGGGATGCAGGGATGGTTTAACATATGCAAGTCAATAAATGGGATACACCACATAAACACAATTAAAAACACAATCACATGATCATCTCAACAGATGCAGAAAAAGTACTCAACAAAATCCAGCATCGCTTTATGATTAAAACTGTCAGCAAAATCGGCATACATGGGACATACCTTAATGTAATGAAAGCCATTTATGACAAAGGCACAGCCAACATAATACTGAATGGGAAAATGTTGAAAGTAATCCCTCCGAGAACTGGAAGAAGACAAGGATGCTCACTCTCACCACTCCTCTTCATTATAGCATTGGAAGTCCTAGCCAGAGTAATCAGACAATAGAAAGAAATAAAAGGCATCCAAATCAGTAAAGAGGAAGTAAAACTGTCACTGCTGATGATATGATCATTTACCTTGAAAACCCTAAGGACTCCTCCTTAGGAGCAAAGCTCCTAGAACTGACGAAAGAATTCAACAAAGTTTCCGGATACAAGATTAATGTATACAAATGAGTAGCTTTCTATACACCAACAGCAACCAAATCAAGAACTCAACCCCTTTTACAACAGCTGCAAAAGAAATAAAATACTTAGGAATACACCTAACCAAGGAGTCGAAAGACTTCTACAAGAAAAACTACAAAACACCACTGAAAGAAAGAGACAACACAAATGGAAACACATCCCTAGTGTGATTTTTGAGGGGTGTTGAAGAGCCTTGTTTTGGCATATTAACAGGGTTGGTTTTCTGGTTCCTTCTCATTGGGTAGGCTCTGTCAGAGGAAGATCTAAGGCTGAAGACCGTTATTTGAATCCTTTTGTCCCATGGGATATTCCGTTGACATAGTACTCTCCCCTCTTTTCCTATGGATGTGTCTTCCTGTGAGCCTAACAGCAGTGATTGTTGTCTGTCTTCCAGGTCTAGCCACCCAGCGAGTCTACCCAGCTCTGGGTTGGTACTAGGGGTTGTCTGTACAGAGTCCTGTGATGTGAACCATCTATGGATCTCTCAAATACACATTCTTTTCAAGTGCACATGAAACATTCTAAAGGATAGATCATATCTTAGACCACAAAACAAGTCTAAAAAATTTAAGAAGACTAAAATCATATTACGTATCTTTTCTGTCCACAATTATATGAACCCGAAATGAATAACAAGAAAAAAAATTGGAAAATTTACTAATATCTGGAAATTAAACAAAATACTCCTGAACAACCAATGGGTCAAAGAAGAAATCAAAAGAAAAATAAAGAAAATCTTAAAACAAATGAAAACAGAAACACAACATACCAAAACTTTGATATAGCAAAAGCAGTTCTACGAGGAAAGTTTATAGCAATAAATACGTACATTAAGAAAAAAAGAAATATCTCAAATGAACAACCTAATTTTACATGACAAATAGAAAAAAAAAACAAATTAAGCCCAGAGTTAGCCGAAGGAAGGAAATACTAAAGATCAGAGCAGAAATAAATGAAATGGAGACTAGAAAAAATAATTTAAAAGATCAATATAAGAAATAATATAAAAAGATCAATATAAGTTGTTTTTTCAAAAGATAAGCAAAATTGACAAACCTGTGCCTAGACTACTATGAAAAAAAGAAAGAAGATTCAAGTAAATAAAATCAGGAATGAAACAGGAGACACTACAGTTGATACCACAAAAATACAATCATGAGAGATTAATGAACAACTACATGGCAACAATTTGGCCAACCAAGAAGAACGAACGAAATTCCTAGAAACATACAACCTACCAAAAATGAATCATAAAGAAAATCTAAATAGGTCAATCAATGAGTGAGGGGAATAGATCAATAATCAAAAAGCTCCCTAACAAAGAAAACTCCAAGACCCAAGAAGTTATGCTTCTCAAGCATTAGCATCACTTTTTCTTTAAATACTTAGTAGAATTCACCAAACTTCCAATAAACTGAAGAGAAAGGAACACTTCCAAACTCACTTTATGAGGTCAGCATTAATGTGATACAAGAATGCTGTAAGAATAGAAAATTACAGGCCAATATCCCTGGTGAACATAGATGGAAATATCCTCAACAAAATATTTGCAAACCAAATTCAATAGCACATTAAAAGGATCATACACTATAATCCAATGAGATTCATCCCTAGGATGCAAGGCTGCTGGTTGGACATATGCAAATCAATCAACATGATATGCCACCTTAAAAGGACAAAGAATAAAAATCATATAATCATATCAATAGATGCAGAAAAAGCATTTGACAAAATTCAACATCCTTTCATGACAAAAACTCTCAATACATTAGAAAGAATGTACCTCAACATCATAACACTATATATGACAAGCTCACAGCTAATATCATACCCAACAATGAAAAGCCAAAAACTTGTCCTCTAAGATGAAGAGCAAGACAAAATGCTCACTCTCACCATTTGTATTTATTATAGTACTGAAAGTTGTAGCCAGGGAAATTAGGCAAGAAAAAGAAATAAAATGCATCTGAATTGAAAAAGAAGAAAAAAATTGTCTGTTTGCAGATGACATAATCTTATATAAAGGAAACCCTAAATATTCCACCAAAAAAAAAAATTAAAACCAATAAATGAATTCAGTAAATTGGCAGGATACAAAATCGACAACAACGAAAGTCAGTAGCATTTCTATACTCTAACAACTATCCAAAAAATTAAAAAAAGAAAATCCCATTTACAATAGTACTTTTTAAATACATAGAAAAAACTTAACCAAGACAGTGAAGGACCTGTACACTGAAAACTATAAAATACTGATGAAATAAATAGAAGACACAAATACATAGAATAATGTCTAATGTTCATGAATTTTAAAAAATAACACTATTAAAATATCCATACTACCCAAAATTGTCTACAGATTTAATGTAACCCCTACCAAAATTCCAATGGCATTTTTCCCTAAAATATGAAAAACAACCCTAAAATTCATAAGGAAACATAGAAGTCACCACATAGTCAAAGTAATCTCAAGCAAAAAAAAAAAAAAAAAAAAAAAAAAGCTGTATGCATCACACTATCTGATTTTAAAATATACTACAAAGCTATGATAATCAAGACAGCATGACACTGGCATAAAAACAGACATACAAGTAAATAAAACAGATAGAGAGCCCAGAAATAAATCCTTGCATGTACAATCAATTGATCTACAAAGGTACTGAAGAACACACAATGATGAAAGTACAATCTCTTTAAAAAATGGTGTCAGGAAAACTGTATATCCACATGATATCCACATGATAAACTATATATCCACATATGAAACTGGCCCGTCTTCTCACACCACATATAAAAAATCAGTTCAAAATGGATTACATATTTAAACATAATACCTAAAACTGTAAAACTACTAGAAGAAAACATAAGGAAAAGCCTTATGGCATGGGTCAGGGCAATGAATTTTTGGATACACTCCAAAAGCAGAGTCAAGAAAAGCAAAAATTGACAGGACTGCATCAAACTAGAAAGCTCTGCACAACAAAGGAAACAGAGTAAAGAGACAACCTATGGAAAGGGAGAAAACATGTGTGAACCATATATGAGATAAGAGGTTACTATCCAAAATACTAAAATATATATTAAGAAATTCAAACAACTCAAAAGCGAAAAAAAACAAACAACCTGATTAAAAATGGGCAAAGGATCTGAGTAACATTTGTTAAAAGAAGACATACAAACAGCTAACTGGTATATGAAAATATGTTCAACACCACTAATCATCAGGGTAATGCAAATCAAAACTATAATGAGATATCGCCTCACATCTGTTAGGAAGGCCACTATCAAAAAGATGAAAGTAAGTGTTGCCAAGGATATGGAGAAAAAGAAACCCTTGTACACTGTTGGTGGGAATGTAAAGTGGTACGGACATTATGGAAAATGGTTTGGTGGTTCCTCAAAATGTTAGGTTACCAAAAGATCCAACAATCCAACTCAAAATGTTAGGTTACCAAAAGATCCAACAATCCTACTACTGGGTACATAGCAAAAGGAAATGAAATATCTCAAAGGGATATCTGCACTCTCATGTTCACTGCAGCACTATTCACAACAGCCAAGATACGGAATCAATCTAAGTGTCCCTCAACAGATGAACAGAGAAAGAAAATGTGGTATAATGGTATAAAGAAATGTGGCATAATGGAATATTATCTGGCCTTATAAAAAGAAGAAAATACTGTCACTTATAATAACATAGATGAATCTGGGGAACATAATGCCTAGTGAAATAAGTTAAGGTACACAAAAAGACAAACGATCTTATTCATATGTGAAAAAAGCTAATTCCAAAAGGTCGTATACAGTACGACCATTCCATTTATATAAACTTTCTGAAATAAAAATTTAGAAATGAGGGGAGGAACGAGGTGGTTTTGATTATAAAAGACAACATGAGGGATCTTTGTGGTGACAGAACTACTCAGTATCCCGTGATGAATACACAAACCTTTTCATGAGATAAAACTGTATAAAACTAAATAAACACACACACACAAGTAAAACTGAAAAAATTTGAGTAAGATCAATGGATTCTATCAATAGGAGTATACCGCTTGTAGTATTGTAACATAGTTTTTTGGGTGTTTTGTTTTTTGTTTTTGAGACAGGGTCTCATTCTGTCACCCAGGCTGAAGTGCAATGGCACAACCATGGCTCACTGCAGCCTCAACATTCCCCAGGGCTCAGATGATCCTCCCACCTCAGCGGCAGCTGGGACTACAGGTGTGCACCACCACACTCAACTAATTTTTGTACTTTTTGTAGAGATGGGGTTGTACCATGGTGCCCTAAATTTTTTTCAGAGTTTAATTCAAACAGTGTAGCTAGTGTGGGATACAAATGACTTACATTTGGGACATCAATTGCTATTTCCCTCATGGCACTGGGTCTGATGTCATTCATTGCCTGCAAGAAATCATTCAGAGTAATCTTCACCAGTCCAGCCACCTTGACATCAGGGAGGTTAGGCTGTGTTTTCAGGATTCTCCGCAAGGCACAGAGACCTACAAAGAGACGAAAGTAACACAAGATTTGTCTTCTCCTTAATAAATACAGACTGAATTGATGGCTCCGGTGGCCCATCTGGAGTGGTCTCCGTGAAGACACTGGCTGCAGTGGGGGAGGCATGGCCAGGGCTGCATACTCCATGAAGCCAGTGGGAGCTGGGAGCAGGCAGGAATCCTGCTCTTTTCCAAGTTGGTGGGGTGGGAGCCCCACTTACCCAGGCACAGCTGCAGCCACCCAGCCATGGCTGTGGACCCAGGTATCCCTCCACTCTCGAGAACCCAGGAAGTACCCTCTGCCCCAACAGGCTCCGAAGTGGCTGCTTCTACTGCCTGGTCTCTCCCCAATCCCAGAAAAACTTTTTGCCTGCTCTGATTTCAGACTAAAGTTAAGGCTGAGCCAAGCCACTGTCATGATCCACCTAGGTATTCATCTGCTCAAGGTGGCGCTGACACACCAGCTCCCTGCCACCTTGGTCCCCTCCAGACTTTGGGTGCCAATGAGCATGGGAGGGAGGCTAAGGGTGGCTCGGCGCAGTTCTGCAAGCACCCCTCAGCACGAACAGTCCAGGCACCATGGACAACATGATTGATGGCAGCAGGAGGCAGAGAGGCTCATGGGCAGAAAGGAGTGAGTCCCTGGTGAAGCCCCACCTTCAAGCCAGGGACACCCTGAAGCATGGAGGGCAGGCTGTCAGCACTGGGTAGAGTCTGTCGCCCAGAGCAAGAACTTATGGTGCTTTTTCTGGGTCTGCCTATGGACCAATCAGCATGCACTTCCTCCCCTCTGAAGCCCATAAAAACCCGACTCAGCCAGGACTGAGTCAGGACTACCAGCTCTGAGAAGGAGCTACCCACTCTGGGTCTCCTCTCCACTGAGAGCTAGACATTTGTTGGGACACCCTGCCTATGGAAAGGAGCCACCCACTCCAGCTCTCCTCTCTGCTGAGAGTTAGACACTCATTGGGACAACCTGCCTGCAGAAAGGAGCCACCCACTGCAGGTCTTCTCTCTGCTGACAGCTGGACACTCATCAGGCTGACCAGCTTGAGGATAGCAGCTACTCACTCTGGGTCTCCTCTCCACTGAGAAGTGGACACTAGTCAGGATGCCAGATAGGAGCTACCCATTCCGGGTCTCCTCTCCACTGAGAGCTGGACACACACTGGGACAACCTGCCTACACAAAGAAGCTACCGACTCTGGGTCTCCTCTCCACTGACAGCAGGACACTTGTCAGGATGACCTACCTGCAGAAAGGAGCTACCCACTCCAGGTGTCCTCTCTGCTGAGAGCTAGACATCTGTGAGGACGGTCTGCCTGTGGACAGGAGCTACCCACTCCAGGTATCCTCTCTGCTGAGAGCTGGACACTCCTCAGGACAACCTGATGGCAGAAGGACCTACCCACTTCGGGTCTCCTGAGAGCTGCTCTGTTGCTCAACAAAGCTCCTCTTTGCCCTGCTCACCCTCCAGCTGTCCACGTACCTCATTCTTCCTGAAGGCTGGACAAGAACTCAGGACCTGCCAAATGGCAGGACTGAAAGACCTATAACACAAACAGGACTGAAACAGGCCCATTGGTCACCACATTGCGGGTAACAAGAAGAAGAGGAGCTGTGGCCCTTTGGGGAGCCCAGAAGCAAGGGCTGTGATCAGAGCTGTGACACCAGAGCTGTGACACTCTCTTTGAGGCTCTGCTATTTCCAATATCTCCAAGCTTCCAGGTACCACCACGTTCCCTGGTGCCCACGGGGGAAAACACTTGTGGTACGCCTGGTCCAGCCATATCCTTACACAGAGCTGGCGACTGTGCCTGCACCTAGAGCTGTCCACTCCACTGCAGCCAGCATGCCTGGCTGTGTGCAGTGGCCAGACCTCAGGCTCACTCACACCCTCTTCACAGCTCTGTGCCTGGCTCACCCTTGGCAGGTGTAGGATCCAGGCCGATAGCACAAGCCAAGTACAGCCTGCTGGGCCAAGTGGGCAGAAAAGCCCAGTGGGTCCGAGAAAAACTCAGGCAGAGGCGCCACCAGCCACAGAGGTTTCTGGCTGGAAAAGTGACACCCTAAGGATCCTGTGACAGAATTATCACCAATAAAAATAATAAAAAACCCAAACCCCATGCAAGATTACAGCATTTAAAACATTTTGTCCTTGTAAGGGAGGGGATGAGAGGTGGGAAGGGAGGTGGAAGAATGTGAAGGATAAATGTAAAAATCCAAGCACTTAGTTTTGTCAATGAAAATATGACAAATATTTAATATGAGAAAGCATAATTTACAAATATAAAATGGAATTTACAAAACAACATCCATAAAAAAAGCCATAAAGATTTATCAAAATAATTTGTTTGGGGAACTTCTTTTAAAAGAGTAAAATATTAAAATTAAAACATGCTTTTGCCCCTGCCCTTTTGGTAAATACATTCAAACTAGAATTACAAAGTTTTAAGGTATTGGGAAAACACCTTCAAGGAAACTTTCAGGTGGCAGTTGGAAATGTGATTTTGGAATATAAGAGCAAAGCAAACTTCAGAGTGATGTGCATACAGATAAGATGTGATATTATAGCAATGGAGAGATCTATAACGGGAGGCTAGTGAGGGGGTCAGGGATGGAGGAATAAATGTAGAAGGCTCAATCTTAGCAAAGCCCATCAATTGAATAGCATAAAAAGAAATGACGGTTTTAAAAGGCAGAGGAAAAATAGGATGACGTAGAATAAAAGGTACTAAAGCAGCCAGGAGGATAGTCAATAAAGTCAAATTTAGAGAGATCCAAAATAAATTCAAAGATATCATGCTGACTTGAGAAGTTAGATACTAAGTTCCTTGTCTTTGCTATTTGAAGTTTAAACACTGACAAGAGTGAATGTTCCCTCCATTAGGTTGTGAGATTTAGAGCCCTTTGATCTGTGATAACCTTTAGTCTAGAAGACAGTAAGTCACTAGATGCTCTTTGTGTTAAGACTGTTTAATAAAATTTCAGTTTGAAGGAGTTTAATCTCAGAGATCTCTCAGAAACCCAGTCTGAATATCTGAAGTTGTCCTGGAACACCAGCTAGCTCCCATGGTTTTTTAACCTTTCTTGTTCAAAACACTATACCTCAATACAGTTTTACTAAATAAAAATGATACCACTCCATCATTTTGTTTTCACTTATTTGAACTTTTATATATAAATAGAAGCATTAATAAAAAGAAGACACAAAACTCCACAAAACAGAGGGCTGAGTATCTTTCACTACCAAGAAAAAGCAATGAATAGTACAAAGAAGCTCCAAAAATAGATCCCCTGCTTCCTAAAGCCAGCAAATCACTTATTTAGGCCATCTTACAAATACCCACTTGCTTTTTCTGCCTTACAAAATGCTGTAAGATGGTTCTTCACATTTCTTGCATTTCTGCTTGAGAATAAAATCACCAACTGTCTCTGTTCAAACTATCTTTTGAAGGATGTTGGTAAGCAGGAAAATAAAGTGTCTCTCTCCAAAGCAAAGGATAGACATGCTTACTGTCCATTATAAAAGATTCAGGTTCTATAATTCAAGGCTCCCCTACTTTGATGCAAGCTTATACAGGTTCAGGTGTCAGGGAGCCCTCTGTATCACTCTGTGAAAAGTGAGGCTCCGGAACAGGTGCGAATGCTGCTACCCTAGCTAATTATGTTGCTGCAATATTCTGTCCTTTGACTCTTCCGCAGGCACTAACAAAATCTGTTAGCCAGCAAGTAGAGTAAAACCTCAGGCCCTTTACAATTCTTGACATGTTTATGTCTGCTATGGTTTGAATTTTTTTGTCTCCTCCAAAACTCATGTTAAAACTTAATCCCTAATGACACACTGATGGAAGGTGAGGCCTAAAGATAGGTGTCTCCACCCTCATGAATGGATTAATGCAGCTATAAAAAGGGCTTGCAGGAGTGGGCTCACTCTATCTCACTCTTCTGCGATGTGAGGACACACAATGTTCCTCTCCTTTAGAGAATACGGCATTCAAGGCATCATCTTGGATGCAAAGAGACTGAGCCCAAGCCTCCCAGCACCTTAATCTTGGACTTTCCAGCCTCCAGAACTGTGAGAAATAAATTTCTGTTCTTTGTAAATTACCAAGTATGCGGTATTTTGTTATAGCAGCACAAACTGGACTAAGACGATGAAAAATTGGGTTGATTTACTACTCAACATACTCATTAGTTAAATGGAGCAGAAGCATTAAAAAATATTACAGTTCAACTTAAGAGTTTTCAACTTTATGGCTGGGAGTAGTGGCTCACACCTGTAATCCCAACACTTTGGGAGGCCGAGGCAGGCGGATCACCCGAGGTCGAGAGTTTGAGACCAGCCTGACCAACATGGAGAAACTCCATCTCTACTAAAAATACAAAATTAGCCAAGTGTGGTGGTGCATGCCTGTAATCCTAGCTACTTGGGAGGCTGAGGCAGAAGAATCACTTGAACCCTGGAGGCGGAGGTTACGGTGAGCCGAGATGGCACCATTGCACTCCAGCCTGGGCAAGAAGAGCAAAACTCCATCTCAAAAAAAAAAAAAGAGTTTTCTGCTTTACAGTGGTAAAAAAGCAATATGAATTCAGTAATTTTCTTGCAACACTGGGCAGCTGCAGCAAGCCACAGTTCCAAGTCAGCTACACGCATATTTTGACTCACAAGTTTTTTCAGGACATAACCCTATCATAAGTTGAGGAGTATCTATGCAGTCCTATGTTGTATCAAACAGCACCTTGTGGCCTGAAAAAAATTTAAGATATTCCTAAAACATCTAACATAACTGGACGTAATCAAAATACTTCAATGCCAGATAGTATCTGGCAATACTTGCCAATATTTCTAACTTGGACCAGATACATCACTCTACTGAGACAGAAAAACTGAAACAGGTAAAACGGTCTAACAATTTGCCTGCCACATTTTTTTATATCATGCAAACATAAAATTGGACAATAAATGAGACATTATTTTCATTTAAGGAATGGGTTTGGAA